AAACATCAGGCAGTAGAGACTGACCCCCAAAGGTTTCACATATTGTAATAATCAAAGATCAAACGAGTTGGCTTGCTGTTTAATGAAAAAAAAAGACAAGCTTTAAAGTAACTCAAAGTATACTCAAGTGAACTCAAGTTCAAAGTGTAACATACTATAAATTTTTAAAATTTTTATTGAGTTATAATAAAATGCTGTAAAGTTAGAAAAGTTCTAAGTTATATAGCTCAGGAGAAAAAAATGTGTGTGTGTGTGTGTGTGTGTGTGTGTATGTGTGTATCACTACCCAGAACAAGATACACAGTACAGCACAGGTGGCACGTTTTTCTGTAACGGTCCAGACAGTAGAAAATTGCCAGCAAGCCAATGCATAAATGAACATACATGGCTGTGTTTGAACAAAACTGTTTTTTGTTGTTTTTTTAAGAAAACAGAAGACCAGGTGTGATGGCTCATGCTGGTAATCCCAGCGCTTTGGAAGGCCAAGATGGGGGGATACTTGAGCCTGGGAGTTTAAGACCAGCCTAGGCAACATAGTGAGACCTCACCTCTACAAAAGATTTTTAAAATAGCCATGCATCAGCCAGGTGTGGTGGCTCACACCTGTGATCCCAGCACTTTGGGAGGTCAAGGCAGGTGGATCACCTGAGATCAGGAGTTCAAGACGAGCCTGGCCAGTGTGGTGAAACCCTGTCTCTACTAAAAATACAAAAATTAGCTGGATGTGGTGGCGGGGGCCTGTAATCCCAGCTACTCGAGAGGCTGAGGCAGGAGAATCACTTGACCCTAGGAGGTGGAGGTTACAGTGAGCCAGGATCATGCCACTGCACTATAGCCTGGGTGACAGAGCGAAACTCCATCTCAAAATGACAACCCCCCACCCCACACACACACACACACACAGCCGGGCATGGTGGTGCGTGCCTGTAGTCCCAGCTACTTGAGAGGCTGAGGTGGGAAGATCACTTGAGCCCAGAAGTTCAAGGTTACAGTGAGCTGTGATCATGGCACTACACTTCAGCCTAGGCAACAGAGCGAGATCCTGTCCCTAAAAAATAAACTAGGAAAGAAAACAGGCAGTGGGCAGAATTTAGCCCAGGGACCATAGTTTACAACCCATAATACAGAGTATTTCCAACATCTCGTTGGTTTAGTTTTGCCTGTCAGCATTTGTTTTATGTACTTTTGTATATGTATGTTTAATTTCCCAATTTAATAAAAAGTCTTAATCATATAGCTATATTATTTTACATCTAGCCAGTTTTCTCATTATCTTTGGCGTTCAGCACTTTGAATGTGGTGTGTCTGGGTATGGTCTCTGCATGTATCCTACTTTGAGTTTATTGAGCTTCTTAAATATGTAGATTCATATTTTTCATCAAATCAAATTTGGAGGCTTTTTCAACCACTAACTGTTTTTCTTCTTTTTCTGTTTTAAGAAGGTCTGACTATGTTGTGCAGGCTGGAGTGCAGTGGCCGTTCACAGGTGCTGTTTTCTCACACTGCAGCCTCAAACTCCTAGACTCAGGCAGTTCTCCCACCTCAGCCTCCTGAGTAGCTGGGACAACAGGCACGTGCCACTGCGCCTGGCTCATCATTAACTCTGAAAAATATTTTCTCCTGTTCTTTTTTTCTCTCTCCTAGCCTTCTAGTCCTTCTAGTCCTTCCATTACACATATATTGGTATGCTTAATGGTTTCTTACCTTTCTCTGAAGCTCTTTTCATTTCACTCTTTTTGCTGTTTTTCAGATTGTATAATTTCTGTTGTTCCATCTTCAAGTTCACTGATTTTCCTCTCCCAATTCAAATCTACTATTAAGCCCCCTCTAGTGAATTTTTCATTTCATTTAGTATATTTTTCAACTTCAGAATTCCATTTGATTTATTAAAAATAATTTTTATCTCTTCATTGGTTTGTTTGGTGAGTAAAGTAATCTCTTGGTATCTGTGGGGGATTAATTCCAGGACCCCCTACAAATACCAAACTCCATGGATGCTCAAGTCTCTTACAGAAAATGGCATAGAATTGCATATAACCTATTCACATCATTCCGTATACTTTAAATAATCTCTAGATTACTTATAATAATACCTAATACAGTGCCTACACATCACTTCATCTGCATGGATTCAACATAGGACTCAGCATGTGGAAAATCCAAGTTTTACTTTTTTGGAACTGTGTCAACATTTTTTTTTTTTCCTGAATACTTTTGATCCACAGTTGGTTGAATCCACAGATGAGGAATCTGTGGATATGGAGGACCAACTATAATTGTTCTCTTACCTTCCTTTTTTAGATATGATTTCCTTTAGTTCTTTGAACAGACATGTTTTTATGTTCAGCCAGTGTTTGGTCAGAGGTTCTGCTTACGCACTTTGAGCTGATAAGATTTCTGCTCTTTGCTGATGGACCTGTGTATGCCTTGGAGAATGCTTTCACGTTTGTTGGACATCTGATTGCTCCTGAGTGGATACAGCCCAGTCCATACATACTTCCCGAACCTCAAGGATAAACAAGATTCCAGGAGGGCTCCTCTTGGCTATCTCTTTCTCTGCTTTTCCATGTTAAACTTCTGGCTGGTCTGTCATTCTGCTTTTTGCTGCTAATAGCACAGAGTTACCAGCGCCTTCCTTAATGGTTCTCTGGAAAGATGTCTTACTGTTTTTGACAATCCTCTTAGGCAAAGATTTCTCAATTCTCCGTACCAAATACGAGCCCCCTTGGGCGGAACTGCTGAGTTGCCAGTCTCAGAGCCTGGCTCTCCCCTGGGGGCTGAACAGTGGCCTGCTTCTCCGGGAGTGACACGCCTTCTCTGTGAGTGGGTTGGTAGCCACCGGTCTTCTGAGATTGCCCCTCCCAGTGTGGAGCCTCCGCACTGGCAGGCTAGGGTAGGGGCAATTGGAGCTCTAGGATTCTCAGCCTGTGGCACCTGAGGCAGAGCCCTAGACCAGTATCTGGGGGAAGAGAGACCCCTTAATTTTTGGCTGCTTTGTCCCAAAGTAGAGTTTGTCACATGAAGCTGGGGAGTGGGGATGGGATGGGATGAGGCTGTGGCTCAAATGCCACAGACTCATTGTTCTTCCTAAGACTTCGTAGTGGATTTTCTTGAATGAATGTTTATTTTGTTACATGCCTTTGGGGAAATTTTCAGAGACTTTGCTTTGTGTGGTTTATATACAAGTAATTTCCTTCAGTAGGAAGAGGGTTGGTCAGCTAAGCCCTGCACACCACTATCCGTAAAGTCCCGTCAGTCAATGCTTTAAGCCTTGGCTGGGCTGCTTGGAGTCTGGCCTAAGTATACACGGTTCAGTTGTCAGCCAGAAATTTCTAAGTTCATGCAACACACTTGGGGCTCTCCTTTTCAGGATTTTCTTCCTCACTTTCCAGAGGCTGTTTATCCCAAACTCTGGCCTCTGGTTCCTCAGGCTAGTAAGACTGCAGGTTTCCTAACAGAGTTTTAGATCCCTGGCGGGGGGCTGCCGTTGGATAAAAGGCCGAAACAGGAAAATCACCCAGTGTCATTCTCTTCTTCCAAGTGTCTACCCACCTCCAATATCTGCCTGCTTTGGATCGTGCTCCAGTGTTCTCAACAATTAAATAAATATTTTGTCCAGAATGACTGTTAATTTGAAGGAGAATTAGTCCAATTGGAGCTATTTACTAGAAGTGGAATTCCCCCTAACCATTAATTTTAGAATGGGTAATTTAAGGTTGGGAGAGTCTGTGGTTTTAACGAGTACAAGTAAGATGTTCCAAAATGAAATTTGGAGTGCTTTTACTTTTATGAAATAGAAAACAGCAAAACAACTAACAAGGGATGAAATTATTCTTTTTAAGCAAAACCTCAAGCCAACTATAAATCCGAAAGACTCATTCCAGACATTATCAAACATTCTAACAGTGACTACCACTCAGATTAAGAAACTGATGTCACATATGCTCAGCATATATCAGACTTGATTTCCACCAAATTTTTCTGTTGCTTAGCGTATCATTTTATTATATTGCGTTGTCTTAGAAAACTAAGGACAAAAACGTCACTGATGCTAAAGAGAACTGTGCAGTGCCCTATCCCATACCTTGGCTCTGTGCTTCCCAACTGTGTACTGCTGTCTGAGATTATTTCGCAGACTACTGCCACACGAGCTCCGAATGTTATTTTTATTGTAATGACTGTGTGTCCCTCCTGCTTTACTGCCCTTTTCAGAAGCACGGAAGGCTCCCAGTGTGCCCTCAGTTGCGAGGGTGTCGAGAACATAAAGGTGAATAGGATGTTGTCTCTGGCCTCAAGTTGCTTATGTCCTTGTGCAGTCTTTCACTTTATGGAAGTCGGTGTAAGATGTGGATCCGTAACACTGGGACAGAGCCAGGAAGCGCTGCCAAGAAAAATGACCTGAACATTGGCTTCACTGTCAGGAGTTGATGTTACTGCATCAAATGCAGAGGATTACATTCCAAGAGAAAGAGTATGGGAAAGAGAGAGGAGGTGGCCGGGTGCAGTGGCTCACACCTGTAATCCCAGCACTTTGGGGGAGCAAGGCAGGTGGATCATCTGAGGTCAGGAGTTCGAGACCAGCCTAACATGGTGAAAACCCATCTCTACCAAAAATACAAAAATTAGCCCGGCATAGTGGTGGGCACCTGTAATCCCAGCTACTCAGGAGGCTGAGGCAGGAGAATCGCTTGAACCCGGGAGGCGGAGGTTGCAGTGAGCCGAGATTGTGCCATCGCACTTTAGCCTGGGTGACAGAGTGAGACTCTGTCTCAAAAAAAAAAAAAAAATTGGGAGAGAAGGTAGCAAGGAAGAGGTGCCTGGTGTTGACTGAAGGCTTCCTTTAAATAAAGGGTGTGATGTGATGCTATTCCAGTTGGCAATGCCCCAGGCCATTGGAACTGCACTTCATACAGTGACCATTGGACCATGCAATGAAGTGTTACTTAGACTCAGTGCCTCAACCTTTAATCATGATTTCACACACTGTGCCTGGCAAAAGATTTTGTTCTGAATAACTTTATTGCAAGTCACATAATCTTGGTTTAGACTTGACACAACAGGAAGCTACAGAGCTGTAAATACCAATTGGTCATTACCTTACTGAGTTTAGAAAACTTTCAAGTTCGTGGCATACATTAATTGCACTTAAATAGGTGTGAGAGAAAGATTTATAAAGACATCATTCAAAAGGATTTTTACATTTGGGTGTGCCTTACTCGATTACAAAAATTTCAAACCATCTTCCCACCTAGGGCCTAGGGCGAGTTTTCTCTTTCCCTGGGACTGAACTAGCACAAAGCACTAAAGGGTTGAAGCAAACGTGAGTATCACTGAGAAGCACTAGAAGAAAGTCTCGATGTGGCTGGAAGAAACCAGAAGGCAAGATTGCCTGGGTGAGAAAGAAAACATAAAAATCTGTGTGTGAGATCACAAGCAGCAACTTCTCCGTGTTGACTTCAGATGTCTTTCCCACAGTCGGGGCACAGGATGTCGTCCCTCTCTGTGAGGAAGCCACGCCCCACCAGTGAGAGGGAGCACTTCTTACAGTTAAAGCAGTCGTTATGCCACTGCCGTTCCTCAAAGGAGATGTATTTTGTGCCGCCAAGTCCTGTTAACAGAGAGAAAATAATACTGGATGAAGAAAATTAGAATCAGGCAACTGGGACTGAAGAAGGAATTGTGGTTTGATCCATTTCAAAGTTTGGATTGTGTAATATGGATAGTGTGAACTTCTAGTGACTGGGTGCTGGGAATCCATGTATAAATCAGATTCTATGCACAGCCTGGAGGATCCCGTGAATATCAGAAGAGAGATAGAAACTGGTTCCAAAACGATGTGATAAGTGCATCAAAGAATGCTGACTGTATTTGTTATGTGTTTTCCCACAAAATGAAACTCTGTGAGAACAGGAAGCAGATTTCTCTTACGCCTTCACTAGGTGCCTCATGTTGCCTGGTGCTCAAATTTATGTGATTTAATGATTGAAGCACCGACGGGAGTGTAGAAGAGGAAAAGTTAATCCTCCCTGGGGTGGCCAGGAAAAGCTTCACAGATAAAGCACGATGTGGGTAGGAATGAGGGCAGAGGAATATTGTTGCAGCGGGAAGATCCTGAGAAAGCTGCAGACAGAATGGAATCAAATATTTAAGGTACATTGGTCCCTGATTATAATACAGTTGGTTTTACCTAGTGTTTTTTCTCAGTGCTACAATAACCGCAATTCACATTCATATCTAACGTTTTACATTTAGAAGTGCTTTTATATAGATTGTATCACTTTATAAAGCTTAATGTTATAAACATTTACCTCAACAGAAGTTACTGCTGAAAACAGCATTAAAGATGAATATGTTTGGCAAAAGATTGCATTTTCCCCCTAAATGATTTCAAGGGAAATGTGGTGTATAAAGGACCAGAAACAGATATTTTAACGTAGGTAAACTGTAAATACTATGCTTTTCTTCATATTTTAATTTCACATGGAAATGTAATGAGCTCTGCATTATACGTGAGAGAACTGTTTTAGTGACCTGGGAAGGTGATTTAGCTCAGTTAGGTGAACTTGGTTCTAGGCCTGAGGGAAAAGAAAGTCAAGGACAAGCACACAGGGGGTGTATAGATGTGTTTCTGTAATGACACTGAAAGGCCACATAGGAAAGCCAGGCCACCGAGTAATCCACGTGTCTGCCACCTTCCTCTGATAGGGAAGAACCAGTCCACTGAATGCAGTGGGATTGAAAATCCCACATCATAAAACTTCTCCTGTGTTATTATGGAATACACACTTTTCTCTCCCCACCCAGTCGCTAATTTGTGTAGTGATATGTGGTGACCATCTAAAGGACTTTAGTGTGAAGTCATCTGTTCTCCACACTGAATTTCTCCAGCCTGCTTAATAGTCTAGTCCAGAAGCCTGGTCTGCCGGCCAGCCAGATTGTAGGCTCTCACTTAGCCAGATCATTTGGGGGAATACAATATGAAAAACTCCTTAGAATGTACCCTCTGCCCTCATATAGCTGTGGCCTTGTGGCAGAAATTTCCCACTAAGATGCTTTGGAGTACAACCGTCCCCCTAAGATGCTAGGGGACACTTCTAAGAAAACAGTACAGCTGCTAAGCCTGAAAAGGCCAGTTTTTATTGTGCGTACGTGGTGTCACAGGCTCACAGGCTGCAGTTTTAGAGATAATCCAACCCAAAGCAGAAACTAAACCAGAGCACAGGCCATATGGTTGTGATCCGGTGGGCTGCAGAGGAAGAATCATTACTTGCTGAAGCATAGCCAGTGCACCAAGGAGAGGAAAGCAGATAGGCAGAAAAGTCTGCTGTGTTCAGAGCCTGAGGGAGGTCTGGGAAGTTCACGGACATAGACAGGGTCACATGCTAAAATGCTAGGCCTTGTTCAAGCTTCCAATCCCTCTTCGAAGTGGGGACCCCGGGACACTCACCGCTGATGGGGTTGGTACACCCAGCACACTTCTTGGCATACAAGTCACAGAAGCAGTTCAGGCAGTAGGCAAAGTCATCGCGAGCCGTGAAGCGCTGCCCAGACAGCTGCTTCCTGCAGGCGGTGCACACAAAGCACTCCTTGTGCCAGGGCTGCTCGCGGTAAGTGACCCCTCCCGTGGTGATGGGCTGCAGGGAGGAGTGGGAGAGTTAGTGTGGTCTCTGTGCTTGGGAGACATCTTCAGTCTCAGCTACTGCCACTGCACGATGCAAGATCCTCATTCAGAAAACGTCCAGTTTGTTAAACATCACCATGAAGCTGCTCTACAAACCTCACAGTCACTCGTTACCCTCGCCACACGCTTTCATTCCAGTGTCATAGGCCCTGGCTTTCCCATTAGTGAAACTGGAGCTTGGGGGTTGCCCTCAGCCCTTCCCAGGGATGCTGGAGATCTAAGGCACAGGGCACCTCAGTGGCGTTGCCACCTTCGCGAGCAGGGAAGCAGCACAGTGGAGGGGTCGGGATTGAAGACAGCATCAAGGAGACCTGGGCTTGAATCCTAATGCTACTCCTTACCAGACCTGTGGCTGGGAGCAGGTCATAATAAAGATCTCTGCACCTCAGTTTTCTCATCCAGAAAGTGAGGGTGATGATGTTAAACAGGCAAGTTGATGGGGAATCCTTACTTAGAAGCCTGGTAGGGCCGGTGGCTCACGCCTGTAATCTCACGACTTTGGGAGGCCGAGGCAGGTGGATCACTTGAGGTCAGGAGTTCAAGACCAGCCTGGCCAACATGGCAAAACCCCATCTCTACTAAAAATACAAAAAATTATCTGGGTGTGGTGGTGCGCCTGTAATCCCAGCTACTCAGGAGGCTAAGGCAGGAGAATCGCTTGAACCCTGGAGACGAAGGTTGCGGTGAGCCAAGATCATGCCACGGCACTCCAGCCCGGGCAACAGAGTGAAACTCTGTCTCGAAAACAGAACAAAAACCCTGGCAAGTGGTATCCTCTCCAATGCCACTCATGAGCCTGTCTCTCCAGCCACTTACGGTAAAAGAAGGAAAAGGCTTAAAGGACAGCTGGGACTGGCACCTGCTGATGCCACGAGAAGATATGGGCATCTTGGAAGTTTTGGGAAAAATAAGCCAGATGCCTTCATTCTCACCTGTCTTGTGGTCTTAGAACATCTGTAAGGTGAAGCTGCAAAGCCACACAAGGTGGAACGGCCATCAGTACCTCAATTTTACCTGGTATTTTTCTCCAAATGTTGCATCTCACATTCTGTTTAAAAATGCATGCTTGGTGGAGCTGAGTAAGCTATCAGAGGAGTGTAGGTGGCCTCAGCTTGGCAAACAAAGGCCATGGAAGATGGAGTGCAAGCACCTCACAATCACGCTGTTTTGCTTTTTATTTTTTGAACATTTCAGAATCATCCAGTAATTCCTTTGGTCTTTACATAAAGCTTGTGAAGTAAGAAAGATACTAATTTTATGGGTGAGTAAACTGAGACTCAGAGAAATTAAAAAGTGACTTGCTGAAGAATTCATAGCTGGTTAATGACAAAGCAGGAGCTAGAATTCCAGACTCCCTTCTATCTTGTATTCTTTTCATTAAACCATGAATCATAAAGCATCTTCCTATAACCCCCCCCACTGCACAAGAGAATGAACACAAAACACGCTTGGTTGCAACGCATCCGTATGCATGCAGTAGCCTGTGTGTGTAAGACGTCTCCTCTGCCTGCAACATACATCCTCAGTCCTCCCTCACTCCGGATTCCATGCTTCCCACCCACATCAGCTAACTCGATGCCTCTCAGCATAGCATGATTTTCTCAGAGACTCCCTCCCTAAACGCCACCCTGGCCCCCAACTCCTCAGATGAGTTGAGGTCCCTCCATTCCACACTCTGCTTTTCTCCTCCATAGCACACTGCTTAGTAACGACTGACGGGTTTGACACTGGAGTGTACTTCCAGCTAGACTACAGTTAAGTGTCTGCATCTTGTCCAGCATCAGATCCCCAGTGCCTGAGAGGGCCAAGTTCATGTCGAGGAATGGATGCTTCTGGCGTGAAGGTTTTTGTGTGTATTTAACAAATATGCGCACAAAAGGCATGCATCCCAGAAGGATGTGTTGCTTTCATTTCCGCAAATGAATAAAGCACACACTGGAAAGATGACAGAGGAAGAGCAATTCAGATGAACTTCTGTTAGGTCTTGATGAGAAAAACAGACCAAAATGAAAATAAAAAGGGGAGAGAACAGGGAAGAGGGTTCCTAAAATAAAAGCAGGAATGAGACCTCAATCTAAGAATAAAGAAAAAAACAGGAGTTCGTGACCAGTCTGGCCAACAAGGTGAGACACCGTCTCTACTAAAAACACACACACACACACACACACACACACACACACAAAATTAGGTGGGTGTGGTGGTGGCGCCTGCCTGTAATCCCAGCTACTCAGGAGCCTAAGGCAGGAGAATCGCTTGAACCTGGAAGGCAGAGGTTGCAGTGAGTTGAGATCATGCCACTGTACTACAGCGCAGGTGACAGAGTGAAACTGTCTGAAAAAAAAAAAATAAGCATAAATGGAGAGGAAATTAAGAGAAAAAAATCTAAAATAACAGTAAAGAACAAAAGGGGCTAGGTGCAGTGGAGGCGGAGGCAGGTCGATCACCTGAGGTCAGGAGTTCCGAGATCAGCCTGGCCCACATGTTGAAACCCCGTGTCTTCTAAAAATACAAAAAAGTCGGCCAGGCATGGTGACGTTTGCCTGTAATCCCATCTACTTGGAAGGCTGAGGCAAAAGAAATCGCTTGAACTGGAGAGGCAGAAGCTGCAATGAGCCAAGATCGTGCCACCGTACTCCAGCCTGGGTGACAGTGTGAGATTCTGTCTCAAAAAAAAAAAAAAAAAAAAAGGAAACGAGAGAAAGGCTGAATGGAAATTGGTAAGAATACTCAGCACTTAGAAAAGGTGCAGGCAAGGGGGACATTCTTGCCCAGGCCAGCCAGGTACAGGTAGAGGCACTGGGACGTTTCTCCCTGGCCCAGAGGCAAGGGTAGAGGCCCCAAGGGCAACACAGCAGAAGCTGCGTGAGCAGGGTCAATGAGAGGATGAGAGCAAACAGAACCTGCAATGAGTTCCACAGCTGGCATTGCCCAGGGCGAGTGAGCCGTGGGAGGGTGCCACTCAACAGGCTGATGCAAAGCCTAACAGCACAGAGACGCTGGAAGCTACAGCATAATCAGAGTTGCGTGTGTGTGAGAGTCAGAGGGCACAGCAGAAAACTAAGCTTCACCCTGACGGGCACAGGTCGGGGGGCAACTGGGCAGAGAGTTGGCTTCCTACAGATAGGCAGTTCCCTTTCTTTCTTTAACCCTAACAGAGCCATGACTGGAACAGATCGAGTAGTTAAGTTTATTTATTTTTATTTTTTTAATTTTTTGAGATGGAGTCTCGCTCTGTCACCCAGGCTGGAGTGCAGTGGTGTGATCTTGGCTCTCTACAACCTCCACCTCCCGGGTTCAAGCAATTCTCCTGCCTCAGCCTCCCGAGTAGCTGGGATTACAGGTGTGCACCACCATGCCCAGCTAAGCTGTGTATTTTTAGTAGAGATGGAGTTTCACCATGTTGCCCAGGCTGGTCTTGAACTCCTGACCTAAGGTAATCCACCAGCCTTGGCCTCCCACAGGTGATCCACCAGCCTTGGCCTCCCACAGTGCTGGGATTACAGGCGTGAGCCTCCTTGCCTGGCCAGAGTAGATACATTTGATAAATGATCTGTCCCATATCCACGGGGGCAGACTTTTCTCCTTTACTTTTCTTCTCACATCCGTCTCTCTCTCCTCCCTGCTCCCTCCCTTCCTCTCCCCCTCTTCCTTCCATCTTTCTCTCCCTCTCAAGTTTGCAGTTGTCTTCTTGTTTTATTCATGGAGAGAAGCTGAACAAGACAGCTTTGGGATAGTGGCTCCCCTTCCCTCTAACATCAGGTCATCAACATAAGAATATATTTAGAAATGGTCTAGAAGAAGGCAGGGTTAAGCGATTTGATCACAGGAGCTCAACAGCGTTGATGTTTTTGAAAGAAGGATGGGCGCCCAGACCCAATGGATAAAGCTCGGCATGTAAGGCAGGACAGGCACAGCTCCCACGCCATTCAAGTATCACAGGTATCCTTGTTTTTGGAAAGAGAACTGACAGACATGGACCATGGAGGCAAACTGGCCAGGATGTGCAAGGGCCAAGGGGGAATCTGAAATACCTTTTTGCACTGAACGCACTGCATGGCATGTTGTTTCTCATAGCAGGGCACACAGAAATTCTGATTGTCTTTGGGGATGAAACTCTTGGTTCCAATTGGCTGCTGGCAGCGGTGGCAGATGAAGCAGGTCTCATGCCAGCTGCTGCCCTTGTACTCCATCTTGCGGGTACCTGTCATCAGGGTCAAGAGGAACACAGCAGAGTTATGCTTAGAGGGGCGTGGAGTCCCAGCAATTGCCTTCAGAGCTTGCCACCCTCTAGTTTTATGACCAGAGCAAGTGACTTCAGCTCTTGAAGGCTCACCTCTAAATGGAGGTAATTCCTATTTTGTACAGGGCATGGACTTTATCTTTTGGTTCACTACTGTACACCCAGCTCCTAGAACAACACGTGTGCATTTTAGGTACTTAACATGTATTTATTGAAAACCGTGGTTAGGAATGTTAAATCGAAAAAAAGTTAAGTCTGCCTCAACAATGCAAAGTATAAAGGGAAGTGTGGCATAGCTCCGACTAATTTCTATGGAGCATGACTTTTGGAGTCTAGGGACTGTATTCACCTACTGCACACCTAATAAAGAACGCCCTGTCTGGTTCGCAGCAGGATGGAAATGGCTGGCGTGTGAATGAACCTGGAACCTCTAACCTGATTCAGTGAGCAGCCTCTACAACACTCACTTTACGTACTGGCTGTTGAACCAAGTGGTGATGTATCTTGGTAATTTTATGCACTGTGCTAAGTGCTATAATTAAAACCTCCATGTAGTTTTTTTTATTTTCGAGACAGAGTCTCGCTCTGTCACCCAGGCTGGAGTGCAGTGGTATGATCCTGGCCCACTGCAGCCTTGAACATCTGGGCTCCAGGGAAATTCCTGCCTCAACCTGAGGAGCTGGAACTACAGATGCACACCACCATGCCTGGCTGCAATCTTCATGTGTTACTTGTACCTCCCATTTAGTAATTGCCTAAACCCGTGCCATCCATTGTCTTTTGAGTAACTATTAGCATTTGATCCGTTTCTACCATTTCTCCAAGTGAACTGAGGAGCTCTAGAGAACTGAAACACTTACGGGTCACCCCTGCCACCACCAAGCTGGACTCACTGCAAATGCCTGGTGTTTGTTGACTGATACTTGTTTTCATTTTTGTTTACCAGAAAGAAGTGTATCTATTTATAGTAAGAGATGATTCCAGATAGGCATGTAAACAAGTACCCTTCGTGTAAAGCAAATGTAAAGAAAGATCTGGGGAAATGAGTATCAGGGACAAAGAAACAGGGAAGTGTTGTAAGTGCCCGGACTAGCTGAGGGGCCTGGCCCCTGTGTGAGGACCAAATCCAGACTGCTGCCTGCTTTTCAAATGAAGTTTTATTGGAATGCAGCCACACCTATTCATTTACTTCCATGGTTTCCATCCGCTTTCATGCTAGATGGCAGAGTAGTGTGCAACTGTGTGCAGCTGTGCAGAGTTGTTGTGTAGTTGTGGTAGTTGAGTAGTTGTGACAGAGACTGTATGGTTCACAAAGCCCCAAATATTTATCTGGTGTTTGAAGGAAAAATGTTGCCAATCGCTGGGGACTGCGGCATGAGGGTCACATACATGTGACTTCTACTAGCGGTCAGGGAGTGATGGGGAATCAAGCCGACAGGGGGACTGCCCGCGCCAGACCAGGTGTAAGCAGCTGCAGTAACACAGGTGGCTTATAGGAGTCTATAGACTAGTCCGTAGCTCTCAACCCCAAAATCTTATGGTCCCAAGGACAAAACTAGTGGTTTTATTTTAGCTGGCTAGAAAGCTGGTCAGGAAATGTCTGTCCTCCAGTAATTAGGAATGTACTGAGAATTATCACATGATTGTTATTTACGATCATTTTCTCAGCTTCCTGTCCTTCCAAGACCAGACATTTGAGATTATATAAAATAAGCGGGGTGTGTGGTGGGGGGCAATGTGTGAGAGGGAATTTGGGTTGATGACACGCAGTGATCTTAACATTGAAAACTAAACTGTACAATCTATGGAATTCGATTGTGGGGTGATGAATCCTAAAACGAACATTACGTGAAGCAATGGAAATTCAAGTAAAAATAGTGGAAGGACTTTGATACACACTTCACAAAGATTTTCTTCCACCTCCATGCATACTTTTGTCACTTGCTCTTTGGATCTCTGACCTTCATTCTGATCAAGCAGCCCAGAAGCCAAAGGATTTTGCCAATGAATGTGGGGCAATTATGACTCTCGTGACATTCTTGGCGAGTTCTGAAATAAGTCTTATCAGATCAACACCAGTTCGAGGGCAACTCTACGTGCAGGGAATGCACGGGGCACCTGGAGCCTCAGGGAGGTGGCGCGTGCACATCTCAGGCAAGGTGACAGCCTTGGCCGCAGGCCTGCGTGGTCATATGCAGCAACGCCGGCAGGTGGCAGGGGCGTTCCTTCTCCGCACTGAATCGCACACTCTGAACCAAGTCTCCCGCAGACCGAAGCGCAGTCTTGAGGAAGGGATGTCTTAATCGGATTCAAATAGTCAAATTAGGCTGGCTGCGGTGCCTCAGCCCTGTAATCCCAGCACTTTGGGAGGCTAAGGCGGGAGATCTCTTGAGCCCAGGAGTTGGCGACCAGCCTGGGCAACATAGGGAGTCTCTGTCTCTACCAAAAAGCATAAAAAAACAACAAATTAAGCTGGGTGTGGTGGTGTGTGCCTGAGGTCCCAGGTACGTAGGAGGCTGAGGTGGGAGGATCATTCGAGCCCGAGAGGTCAGGGCCATAGTGAGCAGTGATCGTACCACTGCTCTCCCACCTGAGCGAAAGAGCGAGATCTTGTCTCAAAAAAAAAAAAAAAAGGCAAATGAGGAGCCAGAAATTTGGTTGCAGGGTTGGAGACACTATCGCTACTGGAGTCTGCGCATGCGCAGAGGCTGTGGTGCATCTGTAAGCAATGTCTGCTAATAGGGGCTCGAGAGCTGGTAAACCCCAGCACTGGGGTTTCTGATGGTACTCCAGTTTCCTGTTTAGTCATCAGGACACTGACTTGTGTAGGGGTGTGGCGCTGGCGGGTTGAGTTTTTTCACTCATCCTCTAAATGTAAATTCACTGCAAAAGCTGTGTGCACTGACACTGTAACCCATATTCATCTTAAATGGGTTCGAACACTTTTAAAAATCAAACCCAGGCAGGCAAGTGCTTTCATTCAACCTTTTGTTGGTGGTGGTTTGTTTGTTTTGCATACACCAGGATTCTTCTAGACACCCTGCTTTTGGTGCCCAGTCCATTTCTTCTTGCGGAGGCACCTGTAAAATGGGGATGAAGCCATCCAACCCAGGGGACACTGAAGATTAAATGGAAATCGGTAAAGCAGCAGTGTCCAACCCCTCTGTGTGTGCTCAGGGGCCGGTAGCTGTGGCTGTGTTGTTATTATTACTGCACAGCATTTCTTACCACAGAGCCTGAATTCCAGCTTCCCTCATTCCTTAGTAGAAGAGACTGCTGGCCAGTTAATTCTCAGATATTCAGTATGGGTTACCCCTCACTGAACATTGGGCTTTTACTTCTTATCTGATCATGTTTTTCCTTTCTTTCCCTCCCCAGTAAACACCACAAGAAAGAGAAGGTGTGATGGTTAATTTTATGTGTCAGTGTGGCTGGGCTCTGGTACCCAGTTGTTTGGTCAAAAAAACAGGTTTATTTGTTGCCGTGAAGGCGTTTTTTAGATGTGATTAACGTCTAAGTCAGTAAGCTTCGAGTGCAGCACATTACCCACGTATCAGGGCCGGGCTTCATCTAATCAGTGGTAGGCCTTAGGAGCAAAGACTAAGGTTTCCCTAAGGGCAACTCATTCTTCTCAAGACTGCAATAGACACACCCTGGCTGAGTTTCCAGCCTGCTGCCCTATGGAATTCAAACGCTCCCATTTGGAACTGCAGTATCATCTCTTCCCTGAGCCTCCAGCCTGCTGGGCTGTTCTACAGATTCCAGACTTACCGCCTCCACAATCTCATGAGCCAATCCCTTGAAATAAATCCTTCTCTCTCTCTCTCTCTCTTTTTTCTCTCTCTCTCTCATCTTTCTCTCTCTCTCTCTCTGTCTCATCTTTCTCTCTCTCTCTCATCTTTCTCTCTCTCTCTCTCCCCCCATATATACGTATCTATGTGTATATATTTCTGCGATTGATTCTGTTTCTCTGGAGAACCTAACACACACAGAAAGTCAAGACAGGTGAAAAATTCAAAATCCGGGAAATATGCATACTTTTTATGTCATGGTTGGTGCTAACAGTTAAAGTCTTAAATAGCCCCTAGACTCCCCAGTGGAAGCTTCCTTGGGCCCTTGTTCAGGAAACTAGTAAGGGTTTAATTTGTTTTTCAATTCATGCTGTGGTTCTTACTGAGAGTGCTGTGTCTCTGCAGTGACTCCCTGTAGGGCAGGACGCAGGTCAGCCTGGCTTTCTACGGGCTTCGGTTCTCATTCGCAGTGTCACACAGCACTGGGGCCCGAGTTTCCAGCCTCTGCAGGACCCATGTGATCTTGGACGAGGCCTTCCTGCCTGGAGCTGCCTCATCTAAAGTCACCATGCAGCCCCGCCACCTGTCTTCCCTTACAACTGCCAACAGGGCTGGGGTTGTGTCAGCCTGGGCATTTTTCTTCCCTGTCATAGTGTGTCACAGTTGTTTTTAAGTTGTATTAACCAGAGAAATGTAGTCGCAGTAAGAAACCATCTTACTGAAGGTCAAATAACCTCCTTGCCTTTTTAAAAATGATGATTCCTTATCCTACATGTCTTTTTTTTTTTTTTTTTTTCTCCAAGATGGAGTCTCACTCTGTCACCCAGGTTGGAATGCAGTGGCACAATCTCAGCTCCCTGCAACCTCCTCCACCTCCCGGGTTCATGCAATTTTCCTGCCTCAGCCCCCCGAGTAGCTGGGACTACAGGCGCACATTGCCATGTCAGGCTAATTTTTGTATTTTTAGTAGAGATGGGATTTCACCATGCTGGCCTGGCTGGTCTCAAACTCCTGACCTCATGATCCCCCCTCCTTAGCCTTGCAAAGTGCTGGAATTACAGGGGTGAGCCACCACACCTGGCATCCTACATATCTTTTAAAACTATTTCCTATATGTCAGTCTCTTCAGTATTTCTTTATTATCAAAAACAAAGCAAACCAACATGATGAAACCCCATCTCTACTAAAAGTACAAAAATTAGCCGGGTGTGGTGGCGCACACCTGTAGTCTCAGCCACTTAGGAGGCTAAGGCAGAAGAATCTCTTGAACCTGGGAGGCAGAGGTTGCAGTGAGTCAAGATTGCACCACTGAACCGTGTTGGCCAGGCTGATCTCAAACTCCTGACCTCAAGTGATCCACCCACCTCAGCCTCCCAAAGTACTGGGATTACAGGCATGAGCCACGATGCCCAGCTTCTTTCTGTATTTTGAAATTCCATATCTTTTTGTCCCCTTTGCTTTTCAAAATAAAAGATTCTGCCCTCTCACATAAAAGACAAAACAAAAAACCAAATAACTCCCCCCGCCACACACACACACACCCCCCCCATGAGGGACACAGTCCTATCAACACACAAGGCACCTTTATTGCCGTCCTCGGCACCTGGCCCAGTTGCAGCTGTGCCCTTTTTGACTATCCACCTAGAACACCAACTCCACAAGGGCAGAGAACCAAGTGCACCTCGGCTCACACCCCATGGATGCTCGGCTTGAGCCCAGTGCCTGGCACGCAAGAGCACCATGCACACTTGGTGAAATAACTGAATGAGTACACATTCAGCAGGTAGAAGCGAAGAAAAGAGAAACCATCTATGGTGGTGGGAAAGTGGGGGCTGATGCAGGAGATGTATTTTTAAGGGGAATGCCCACCATTCACTTACTCTAACAATTTGACTGCATAACACTGCGCCATGTGCATAGCAAAAAGATCCCGTTACTGCCCATGATAGAACCCGTATGTGCCTGCTTTGTAAGCACTCTAAATACTCCTCTGTAATTCAAGGTAAAAATGGAAAGTCAACACGAGTGTCTGGAACCAAGTCAATGTGAACAGGGGGTCAGAGGAACGTGCACAAGGCCTGAAGCTAGACTGGCTCACGCATGAGAAAGGTGTGTCTCCTGACCTGGCATGATGGTCTTCTTGCATTCCTGGCACTTGGATGAGTACTCGTTGGAATAGCAGTCCGTACAGAGCAGCTGGTCCTCCTTGGCAGCAAAGGGCTTGTCCACCAGTGAGTTTCTGCACTGCGAGCAGTGGAAACAGGCTTCATGCCAGTGCCGGTCCTTGTAGGACAAGTCCTGTGAGGCCAGACCACACAAGACAGTCAGAGGCAGGATAGGAGGGCTTGGACCCCACAGCATTGGGGCCCCTTGTGAATCTGCAGGGCAAACAAGGAATGAAGGTCGGCCGAGGCACCCTGGCGCACCCACATTCATGCCCCAGGACCACCTAACTGCTGAAATCAATGAGGACTAGGCTGCTTTTCTCTTGCTGCATTTTGGAGCAACAGGTTAGACAGATGTGCATGTATGCACGTGTCTGTGTGTGAGAGATGCTTCTCGAAAACAAAGGGATTTCCCTTGTGTATTGCCTGCAAGAAAGAGAAACAGAAAACATGAACACCTATCAATTCGTCTCACACCACATCCGGTGACAGAGAAACAGACTGCCGGAGGTCCTTGCCTGAGGGAGCCCTGCCCAACCCAGATCACCGTGGTCACCGGTGTGGCAGAGAGGCTCTGGGTGTCGGGATGTTCACCAGAAGGAGGCCCAAGGACTGACGGGTGGGAAAGAGTCAGGACAGACTGCTTGTGTGGGTGCTACCTGTGTGGGTGGCAGTGAGCTGGGGGAGGAGGGAAATTTCAGGCAGAGAAAGGGCACAGACACAGAAGATCTGGGGACGGGGAGCACGTCAGATTGCAGGGACCACAGGCCGGGGGCGAGGTGGGAGGGCCCCCCGGCCTGGCTGGACCGGAACATATGGCTGCCTTTTTGCCATTTATGTCTGCGTAGAGATTCCGTTGATCCTGAAGGCAGTGGCGAGCTGCTTTTCAACAGGAGAGTGAAGTGCTCAGACTGGGGGACAGGTAAGGGTGTGGGAGTGGAAGGGGGTGAGGGTGAGAGAAGTGAGACAAAAACTGGGCACACATGGGAGAGGCCCCGAGAAGACAGATGCATGCTTTTGAGTAAAAGATGAGAGACAGAAAGGAGCCCTGCGGAAAACTCGACTCCACACTTGGCTTCATCTTGCCTGAGAAGTAAGAGAACCTTCCACATTTGCCTTTTAAAAATGACATACAGCAAGTTTAAAGTGCCAATAAAACATTAAAATAACAATCTATTTATGCCCAGCTTTATCTTAGAAAGAATATGTTTCTATTGCTGTCTTTGTGTTTCCAGCTCTGACCCCAAATCATCATCCATTTATTCATGAGGCAGAAACAGAATATTAGTCTCTGCACGGTTTCCTGGGCCAGCTTCCAGTTGGTAAGTATCCTGAACAGGGCGCAGGAGGGCTGTTCACGCGATGGCCCTGAAGAAGAGCCTGCCCACGATGTCTCTGTTACTGAAACCGAAGTCGAAGCTGGAGTTATGCTGAGTGTAGGATGTGAAAACATGGATCTTAGCCTTGATTAGAAAGTTCTAAAACACCAACTAACTCGGAACCAAAACTAGAACAAACAGATCTCTTTTGCTGAAGTATCTGTGTGTGTGTGTGTGTGTGTCTGTGTGTGTGTGTTCCTGGAACCTGGAACCAAACTAAAGTTATTTGATTTGGTGATCTCTTTGCGCATTTTGTTTCAGTTCAAGGAATTTTTAAAATGTGAACGCTGAGACACTTGGAAGACAGTCATGACTATGGCCTTTGTGAGGGGCGACCTCGTGTGCTATCCTTGTTGGAAGTTTACTTCCTAGAACATCTGGGAATAGGATTATTGCTGATGCAAGATGATAACGTGTGAAGGAGAGGTAGGGCACAGTGGCTCGCGCCTATAATCCCAGCTCTCTGGGAGGCAGAGGCGGGCGGATCACCTGAGGTCAGGAGTTCAAGACCAACCTGGCCAACATGGTGAAACCCTATCTCCACTAAAAATACAAAAATTAGCCGGGCATGGTGGTGTGTGCCTGTAGTCCCAGCTACTTGGGAAGCTGAGGCAGGAAAGTCGCTTGAACCTGGGAGGCGGAGATTGCACAGCCTGGGCGATAGAGGGAGACTCCGTCTCAAAAAAAAAAAAAAAAAAGGAATGAAGGTGAGATAAGCATAGAGTGCTCTCAAAGCGGGACTAAATGCCCTGGTTTCTGTGGGATTAGTTCTCACCTGAGCCCACCACCTCTGAGTATCGTGGGTCCCCTGGGGTAGGCACTGCCTCCCAGGGGGACTCCAGGGCAGCTTGCTTAAATGTCCAAGTCCTCTCCATCCTTGAGAACCCAAACTGGGTATACACTGGGAGTTGAGGGCAGAGGGCTGCCCTGTCTTTTGTATTTTTAGCTTAAAGTATTTTCAGAAATCTGAGGGGAAAATCACCTGTGTTTTATGGGTTATTTTGACAAATGAAATAGAGGACAAACTGCTTTGATTTGAGTTAATGTCTACACATGTGAACTCATGATAAACAGCAAAGCCCACAATCCACATGGACATCATCATCGTTCAGGAACAGGCATGTTCTCCATTCTTTCCACGCACACGCCCCAGCTTCAAAAAGACATCTGAAACACCAGTGATGACCGTCATTACCCCATCTGCGGGCTCCAGGCACGGCACAGCCCTGCAAGGTAAATGTTATTACTGAAGGTCAGAGAAGTTCCGTAATTTGCCCAGTCACATACCTGGCACGGAGCTAAGCCAAGCTTGGAGCTCAAGTCCTCCTGGTGCAAAAGTTATTTCCACTGAACCAGCCCAGGCAAAGTCCTGGTCAGGTCTGTGTTACTCTTTGCTTTCAAAGCAGATAGCCTTGAGGAGATATGTGTGTGTGTCCATTAAAAAAAATCCAGAAACGACCAAATTCTCGCAACTTTCTAGAACGTATTTTGTACCTAAATGAATGTGGCTCAGCATTGCCTTTGTTTAGACTTTGAATACAATCGAACAGACCATTAGAAGCCCTATCCACCCAAAACAGTAATCAGCCTAATTTAAGAAGAGAGAGATTTTATTCATGTTATCACTGTTAGAATGCTGATTGTGGAAGAAATGCATTAAGAATAAATTTTGTATGGGAAACAGCATGGCAGCTCCTCAAAATATTAAAAGTAGAATTACCATATGATTCAGCAGTTGTACTTTTGGATATATACCCAAAAGAATTGAAAGTAAGGTCTCAAAGACACATTTGTACGTCCACCTTCATTGAAGAATTATTCACCATAACTAAAAGGTGGGAGCAAGCCAGGCGTCTATCAACAGGTGAAGGGGTGAACAAAATGTGGTCTGTGCATACAATGGAATTTTATTCAGCCTTAGAAAGGAAAAGCATTCTGACTCATGCTGCAACATGGATGAATCTTGAGGACATGATGCTAAGTGAAATGACAAATCGGTCACAAAAGGACAAATACTGCGTGATCTCACACATGTGGGATACTTAGGGAAGTCACATTCATGGAGACAGAAAGTAGAAGAGTGGTTGCCAGGGGCTGGGATGAGAGGGGAATGGGAGTGAGAATGGGTCCTGTAACCCATTCATTCCTGAGGTTGCAATTTTTTGAATTTTTGCAATCAGACCTTGGCGATGATCTTGAGCAGTAGGATGTTTGTAACTCCCACATGCTTAGCGTTCCACTAATGGAATACTAGGCATAAATGGGTTTGATGGGGGCAGTATTTCAGATTTTCAAGAAGCAAAAGCTCTGGGGATTGGTTGCACAGCAATCTGAATGCACTTACTACTGAACAGTACACTTAACAGTGGTTAAGGTAAGTGTGATGTTCTGTGTATTTTGCCACAATTAAAAGAATAAAAAAGTAAGTTTTGGCTGGGCGAGGTGGCTCATGCCTGTAATCCCAGCACTTGGAGGCCGAGGTGGGTGGATCACCTGAGATCATGAGTTAGAGACCAGCCTGGCCAACATGGTGAAACCCCACCTCTACTAAACATACAAAAATTAGCCAGGCGTGGTGGTGCCTGTCTGTAATCCCAGATACTCAGGAGGCTGAGAGAGGAGAACCTTGAACCCGGGAGGTGGAGGGTGGAGGTTGCAGCAAGCCAAGATTGTGCCATTGCACTCCAGCCTTGGCAACAAGAGTGAAACTGTCCCAAAAAGAAAGAAAGTAAGTTTTGATTGTTATGTAGTAGGTGAAAAACACCTTTTCAGAAGTGACGTCTGTCCCCCTGTGCAGGCGAGCCACCTCTGAGAGGACTGCTTGTTTGGGGACAAGCTGCAGAATGTTTTCCATGACCCAGGACTCACTGTCTGGATGGGATGAGATACCCAGAGGAGCAGGCACTCGGGAGAGGGGAGGAGATCCCTGGCCTCCCTCTGGGAAGATGGTAACTACCACAGCCCTGCCCAGGGAGGAGGCATTGCACACAGAGGGGTGGCAAGTTATCAGTGACAAGAGAAGGAAAAGAAATACAATTTCTAGGAAATTTGCCTTTTGGGGCTGACCTTTAAGAAAAACTGAGGGAGAAATCTCCAAAGTCAACATGAGAGCGAAGCCACTAGATGTCACCACAGCCTGCACTCTGGTCATCGAGTCCCCAGATGGAGGAAAGAGCACATCAGCGTCCCTGGACAGATATGGAAAAGCTGGCTAAGACATGCACATGGACCCAAGGCACTGCAGAATTCCATTTTTCCTACAGTTAATATTTATGGCACTTTTAAAAATGCAATAGCTACGGTTTAAGACTGATCCGTTGACAGAGACATGTGACACCTGAAACTGTCCCTCTTAATGTGGATACTATCCACATGTTACTGGGCTAAGCATCCATGCAAGACTTGAGGACCTTCTGCAGGCGCAGCCTGTCCCCTGCGCCCTGCTCTATCAGATCCCACCTCGCAAGGTGCAGGCTGCATTCTCTCAGGACAACCTGGTGTGCTATACCCCCTAAGAACCATCTCGCCTTGGCTCCTGCCAGAAGCTGCCCTTTCCCTTCAGGCTGGTGTAGAGTGGTTGAGGCATGCAGAGATCCAGGTTTTGTCCTAAGAAACAGAAGACAGAGTGCCTTCCAGAAAGTGCCTTTTCCTGCCCAGGGCCGCATTATCTCGGCATCATTCCCTGGGGCCGTCTGCACTCAGCTCCCAGTGTTTCTCTCAGCCTACCTCTATGAATTGCACACATACGCATTCC